TTCTGTATCAGGCCTTTATGATTTATTAAAATGTGTTGCTGCTGATGACATTTCAGCTCACATAGCCTTATTTGTTTAAGGGGACAGCACCATAATGTATACAACTGGCTGCTTAATAATGAAACTTAGTTTATATGGTTATACATAGCACTGCAATGGATACTTTGCATATACTTTTCTATACCTGTGTGGGAAATAATTACAAATACAGTTGATGGATCAAAGCTGTGTACTTTTGGTACTGTCAAATTGTATTACAAAAAAAGTGAATCAATGTATGCACCAGACAAAATGTTACATTTCCAATGCAGAACTTTGTCAAAATTTTTGCCACTGTTAAAAGATAGGAAAAAAACTAGTCTCATATACTATGTGCCTTAGAATGGAAGAGATCGAGTAGTTTTGTTATGTCTGAAAGTCTTTTCATCTCCATTTCTGTAAACTGTCATCTGTTCTTTTCTTTGTTATGTTTTGAATATGTGTGTGCAATTTTTTATGAAGGTTAATAAATTTTGTATTTTAGATTTTTCTCATAATTCTTCATTTGTTATTTATTAAGCCTTTCTCCCCATGTAATAGTCTAAGATTTTTGTGGTGTCTTTTAGATGTTTTCCTTCCTAAAAATAGGGTATCTAATACTCTCGTCCTAAGAATGGATACGCTACAGGTAAACTTTAGTATGATGGTGGTGAAACCTATGAGGAATATGGGTATTTTTATGTTTCCTGTTTTTAACAAAAGTTATGAGAAACTTTGGACAGTATTTCTCCATTCAATTCCTACAAAAAAGCATCATGGACATCAATATGAGTGAAGAAGAAAAAGCAAAGGATTCCCAAAGGAAACATCAAAAAGCTTTTTCAAGGGCCGGGGAGATAGCTCAGCAGATTAAGTGCTTGTTTAGGCAAGCGCAGGAAGCGGGTCTATCCCTGGTCTGCCTCACCCCTGGACACACTTGTGGCGCATGCCTGTAATCCCAGTGCTGGGCAGGGAGGCTGAAAACAGGAGGATCACTACCGGTCAGAGCTGCGTAACGAGACTCTGTATCAAATACACTAAAAAAGAGGATTTTCAAAGAGAAAGTAAATGAAGATTCCATATGGGAAACTTTGTGAAAGACAGTATCTTTTATAATAAAAGCTAATACATGCTGAAAAGAAATGTGGGGGAACTTAATCACAGACAAGAACTACTATTCTTCGTATTACACAAGCAACATTACTTTTTCTTTAAGAAAGATGAATGTTTCATAGACATTTTTAATAAGTCATTTCAAATCATGATTTTAAAAATACATGTGTTGATATGTGTGTAGAGGAGAGGGCCAGCAAGCGACTGTTTTGCCTCTTTTGCTTCTGATTGTGGTACAATTTATAATATGCTTTGAAATATATTCTTGTGAACACTCTGGGGAGTGGCCGTGGCTGAAAATTGATCACACATCTGAGGGGTGAGCTAAGGCTGCTTGGAGAACAAAAAGCTCCAGAGCAAGCCTGATCAGGCTGTTTCAGTCCAGAGAATGCCAAGCCTAGACAATCCAAGCCAGGAGTTGCTAGGCAAGGATATGTCAAGTGGCACTTTGTCAAATATATAAAAAAAAATCCCTACAGTGCTTGAGCAGTTTTCTTTCCTCCCACAGGGACAGACAGGCCCCCAACTCCACAGTGGGATGGGGCAAAACACTTTTAGAGTTAGGAAGTGTTTAAAACCATATATTATTCCACTTTGGAATGTACCATAAACTATACTACCAAATCCTGATCAGTAGCTTGAGAATTATTTCGATGTGTTCTATATACAAACAATGCTTCTGGGATCCTTCACCCTTGAAAA